TCATCGTCCTCAGACAAGGTCGCAAGTCTTCCGGTCTGTCAAAGGCAGGCTGTCCAGGGCATTGCATGCAGGAGGGGCAGCAGGCAGTGTCCCGGGCATGGCATGCAGGAGTTCAATAATAACTTTAAACGTAAACGGACTAAATGCTCCAACCAAAAGACATCAAGTGGCTGAATGGATAAAAAAACATGACCCATACATCTGCTGTCTACAAGAAACCCACCTCATTAGAAGGGACTCACACAGACTGAAAGTGAAAGGATGGAAAAATATCTTTCAGGCAAATGGAAAGGAAAAGAAAGCTGGGGTAGCAATACTTATATCGGACAAAATAGACCTCAAAGTGAAGGCCATAACAAGAGATAGGGAAGGCCACTTCATAATACTAAAGAAGTGTCCCGGGCATGGCATTGCATGAGGGGCAGCAGGCAGAGTCCAGGGCATTGCATGCAGGAGGGGCGGCAGGCAGATTCCAGGGCATTGCACGCAGGAGGGGCGGCAGGCAGAGTCCCCGGCATTGGGGCATTCAAGGCTGCACTGCTGGCAGCCCATACTCTGCCTCAGCGTGGAGCTCACCAAGGCTTAACTTGTCCGGGCTTGCTGTGGGATGGCGGGGACACCCTGGAAGCATGCACCAGAATCTTCATGCTGTATGCTTCGTTGTTTTCCAGCTTTTAAAAACCTTTCAGTACTTTTGGTTCTGCTTCAGTGAGGCCTGGGGGAGGCAATACTTAAAAACATCACTCTGCCTCAACACCATAGAAAAACTTCAGAAAATTCCGTTCATTTGAGGGCTTCCCTCTTCTCTTTCATACGCAATTGTAGAGACTCGGTCAAAATACGTGTGGGTGTGAGTTACAGCTCTTCCAAACACGCGGTGCCGTGGGACATGGGAATTAAGGTCACGTTCGCACTATTTGCCAGACACCAGGCCTCTGAGGATGAGGACAAAACCCATAGATATGTGGGTACCAGGGAAAGCAGGCTATCGGGGTTCTGAGGATTTCTTCTCATTAAAGACAGAATCTCCTATATGCTGAATACCCACCATGCTCGGTGAACTATTGTAGTTGTTTGTTCAAACATTATCTTTTACTCTATTAAACCCGTGAAGTGATTATTAGGATTATCATCTTTACAGCTATAGAAAATACGGCCCACGGAAGTCTATAAATTGGACCAGAATTTCACACTTCCTGTTAGGGCCTGACCTGTGTGAATCCTAACTGTATCTCTGCCTGGCTTTGTGACCTTTGACAAAGCTACTTAATCTTGCTGCACTTGATTCCTTAACTATAAAATAGGTAAGGAAAATATTCACCTAATAGGACCGTGTGAGTTAGATGAATTAGTACTTGTGAAATATTTACAACAGTGCCTGGTGGTTAGCAAATGGCTATAAACAAGTTAGCCATTACTATTATTACAACTGGAAAGATAGCAAAGTCCCAACTTCATCAGGGCAAAGTAGGATATTGCCCAAGGCTTCCGGGGTAAAAGTAAATACATCTATAACCAAATAAACGAACAAGGCAAAGAACATTCAATACCAGACCTCAGCAGCTCATTCCAATAAATCCTTCCAAAGAAAGAAAGAAATCCACCACCGAGCTACGCAGGCTGGGCATAATTTAATTCTTTTAATTCACACTTTTGTGCCCCATACCACCCTCCAAAAAGAAAGAAAGAAAGAAAGGAAGGAAGGAAGGAAGGAAGGAAGGAAGGAAGGAAGGAAGGAAGGAAGAAAGGAAGGAAGAAGAAAGAAAGAAAGAAAGAAAGAAAGAAAGAAAGAAAGAAAGAAAGAAAGAAAGAAAGAAATTACGGAAGGAAGAAGGAAACCTCTAGAGCAGATACATGAGAAATGTTGGTTTTTAAAAATGGTTTTCCAGGAAGAGCTAATTCCTTTATTTACGTCTCTCACACCCCCTCCGGTTTCCCCACAACTTCATTAAGAATCTGGATGAACTGGATAATACCATCTTTGTCCCATGATTATCTGCCATTATTACTGGCATCCTCCAGTAGAACCCATCCAGAGAATTTTAGAGGAGGCTTACCGTCATTAAAATCTTCAACCTCAAAGTTTATCCAGCTTATCCTCAGCTACAAGTAGGATAACGGAAAGACAGGGGTTTAGTGACATTCCTTAATGGGCAAAGTATGCATCCAAAGTTGTAGCTGTGGTTATAGGCCCAGAACTTTCCATAGCCTCTTTCTTCTCAGAGTTTGGTGGTGTATGAATTCAGTTCAATTAGCAAATTTACATTGATCATCGTGCAAATAACTATGGGGATTTCCAGGAAAGTTGAAGATGGGGTCTTGTTCTTGAGGACAGTAAAGTCTAGTTGGGAAACATGAACTGATCTTACATTGAAAGTCATAAGTGACTGTGGGAGGATTGCTGGGAAATTATGATGATACTGAATTATTTCTCATACACTGGCTGAAGCATGATTGAAAACATTCCATCATAATTTAATTTAAAAACATATATTTTTATTGACTTAAGAGAGGAAGGGCCGAAACCGGTTTGGCTCGGTGGATAGAGCGTCGGCCTGCGGACTGAAAGGTCCCAGGTTCGATTCCAGTCAAGGGCATGTACCTGGGTTGGGGGCACATCCCCAGTAGGAGATGTGCAGGAGGCAGCTGATGGATGTTTCTCTCTCATTGATGTTTCTAACTATCTCCCTTCCTCTCTGTAAAAACTCAATAAAATATATTTTAAAAAGAAAAAAGAGAGAGAAAGGGAGAAGAGGAGAGAGAAACATCAATGATTAGAGAGAACCACCGATCGGCTGCTAAGCCCGCAACCCGGACATGCGCCCTGACCTCCTGGCTCACAGGCCAATGCCCACCACTGAGCCACACAGGCTGGGCATAATTTAATTTTTTTAACTCACACTTTTGTGCCCCATACCACCCTCCGAAAATTAGATGCTTACTTATCCACCCATGTAAGGTGGATACGAATCAGGAGGGATATCCAGGTCCCCAGCACAGGTCCCAGGGCCAGGAAGAGAAGGCCCCATAATCCTGGCTGTAAAAACCAGCAGGGATTGTGGTTGAGTGAGATGGAGGGTTGCTGGAGTCCCAGGTATTTTTCTTAAAGGCCTAGTGGGCATAGACATACTTCAACTCATTTGCTTTGAGCTCCAGCCCTGGGGCAGCAGCTCAAAAGTCACCAGGGACATACAAGGAGTAGCTGAATTGTCTGGTTTTGGAGTGAGAACTGGGGGGACAGCTTTCTCCCAGACACTAGTGCTGGCAGAGGCCACTGATCCTTTGCTGAGCCCTCCCCACACAGAGCCAGCAGACTGGAACCATTTCTGAGTCTCCAGGAACCTGGCTAACACTGCTTTAGCCCTACCCTGGTGATTCCCTGAGACCCCACCCAACTTTTGGGACCCACCCAAGCCATTTCTAGTGACTTTTTCATACAAACATCCTCTCTAGGCCCATGATGCAGACTTTCCTAAACTCTTTCAAAGAAAAACCAACTGACCTTGGGGTACCCTGCACCTCTTTTTAAGTGGCCCAAGGTCTACCCCTAGTGGGAGCCTGCTTCAGTTTGCAGCTTGAACTATGCCAAGCACCTCCAAGCCCAGCACAGGTAGCAACCATCTGCAGATCACTCTCACTTAGCAAAGCTTCTTCTAAGAAAGTAACCCTGATAATAGGGCAAATGGGGGCAGAAAGGCCCATTGGGTCAGTGGGAGAGAAGGTAGGACAGCTCCATCCCAGGGCTGGGCCTACAGGGTGGAAGGTGGAAGATAATAAATACCCCAGTGCTTGCAGGGACCTTGGCAATTTGCTTTAGGAGAAGTGGAAGTTGTTCTTTCGTAGCATAAAAGCTCAGAGATACACGAGGCAGGGTAAGCACAAAATGGCACCCATGCTTAGTTCTGGCCCATTGTCTGGAATACCGTGGCTGCAGGTAAGTGAGACACAGGATGTTCTTCTTTATTAATATTGAAGAGCCCTTCTTCTTTCTGACGATAATGTCCACTAGAGAGGTTTACGTAAGACTGGTGACTAAGGAAACCCTCCTGCCACCCAGGCCTCACTCCTCAGGCTCTGTGGTTACTGGGAAAGAGAGAGCAGTGCCGAGTGCTGAGGCTGGGAAAGGAATCGGGACATCATGCTACAGAGACTCCACTTTACGTGGAGACCGTGGAGAACCACAGGAGCAGGGCACCATCAGGTGTGTACTGAGGTCCCGCCAGATGTAAAACCCCCTCCTGAAGGCGGGCTTTCACCCATTTCTGTGAAATGGCTTAACTACTGAAACAGGCCAGCTGAGAAAATGTATGTCCCTGAATAAAATAAAAGAAGTTCCTTTCTCCTTTGAGTAGGAATGTGGATTGGGGTGGGGACAGCAAAGATCCACCCCGAAGGGGAATGAGCCCTCTGGAGAGCAGCAGGCCATCTGTGGGTGCAGAGATAAGAAGTGGGGAAAACTGTCACGGGCTTTATCAGACCGGCCCACGCTGAAGACACTGGGAATGTCCCCGTCTGTGCATTGCTTGGCTGGGCCTCACTCTGCCCTGTGACTCTTCCAACCAGCATGTGCCATGGAGCTAACAGGGTTTTCATATTGGCTTATGGCCGCCTGAATGAGCAGATGGTGGCTTCTAGAAGAAAAGACCAAGGAAAGGACCAGGGGTATGAAGGTCTTGTAAAGCTAGTGGTGCTAAGAGCCTGGACCTGAATGGTAGCTCAGGGGATGGACAAGAGCCTGCAGCTCTAAGAACTAGTCTGATAGGACTCGGGACACTGGTGGCCTGTGAGGACTGAAGGAGAAAAACGGGTCCAGCGTGACTCCAATACTTCTGACCCAGGCAATTGGACTTTAAGCAGAAGAGCAAGCTTTGAGAGAGGAGAAGGAATTCCGTTTAGATCACATGAAGAACTTTATTCAATTGAGAAGAGTTTTAACTCCCTTATAACCAAGATAACTAATATTTGTTACCAAAGCAAATATGTCAAAGAATACTCTGAAATGCAATTAAATTTGTTTATTGAAATAATAGACACAGTGAGTAATACAGATTGTTTCAGCATAGTACAGGTGTCACACATTTCTCCTGGTAATAGATAAATAGATGAGCAGAAGCAACACAATACAAGAATAATCTAGAATAATACATTCTATTACTGGGAGTCTCCCAAGAGATCAACAAATCCAACCCCATTAACAGATGAGGAAACTAAACACTAGAGAGGCTGGCATTCTCCACGCTACAAATTTTTAGGGCATTCACCAGGTGCCAGGCACTTCCTTGCTGCTGGGCATATAAAAGCTAACAGAACACTGTACCCATACTGTAGGAGCTCCTAGCCAAGCTCGTGTGTGACAGTGTCCGGTCAGCAGGACATTAACACTCAGCCTAAATAAGCACTGTGAGAATTGCATGCTTTAGCTGCAAGGTGCACCCTACCCAGGCATGGGGGCAGTTCTCTGAAGGTCTTGTGCGAGCTGACCTATGAAGGATGAGCAGAAGTCGGGTAGACAAAGCGGTTGTGTCCCAGGAAGGCCAAGGTGAGGGACAGCATAGTGCATTTTGTTAATCAAAGGAATCAGAGTACAAGGGAATTCTCGTCCTGGGTTTTGGAGACAATAGCCTTCGGACTCCCAGTTCAGGGCTGTTTTCAGAATGCTACCTGTCTCTGGAGGTCTCCTGAGGGTCTCTGATGATTCAGCACAAGTATCAATGCTCCTGCATAGAAAAAAGGATGCACAGTGGCTCATGCTCACCAGGGGTAGACATTAGGGTTTTCAAACTCTCGTGTTTAAAATGTCTCTTTAGAGGAATAATTACTTTGTATTATAGCCTTTCATTTCTTTCCAGAATATTGATATTAACTGATTCATGCCATGAACCCTTAAGTCCGGAAGGGACTTTAAGGGATTACTTTTTCAGTAGCCTAAGGAGCATGGGGTGGGGAAGGGGGAGCAGTTCCCTCCCCGGTGGAGGCATAAAGGAGACACTATCTGTAGGGAACTTAAACATTAATAATAAACGGAACAAAATTGTTCTGCTTTTTGTTATCACCACGTGCCAGGAATCTGGTGATTCTCAGTCAATAATAAAGCGTTCTTCGCTGCCAAGGCAAACTGCCCCTACTGATCTCCAGCCCCGCGTAAGCCACTGCACTGCACAGACACCGGCACGGGCAGAAGGCACAGCACCCAGGTCCGCTACACACAGTCCCCGCGTTCATCTCTTCAGCTCACATTACCACATCGTCTCCGTCCTAGCCAACATCATACGTACAAAAATCAAAACAGAAAACCCCACATCAATGTCTTTCTCCAAAGAAGACTCTCATCTCTCAAGCTCAAACAGGTTTTGAGCTAAGGCCGCCAGTGTCTGATGCCGTCGCTCGCGCGTCCCCAGGCCTACCAGGAGCAGTCCTCGCTCATCCTCTCCAGCTGGGCCGCCTGGCACGTGCTCGGGGGAACAAACACGGAGGGGTCTTTAATACCCAGCGTAATGTCGAAAAACCGCGTGGACAGTATCACACTGTAATTTTGGGTGAAGGTTTCCTGGATCGGATAACAATCCTTGGCTGTATAAATGCCAATCCAAGTTTCATCTATAAGAGGAAGGAAAGTTGACTTTTAATATAGAAGGCAGGCAAAATGCTTGTATTTTTTTGTTGCGGTAACTTATACATAAAATTTACCATTTTAACTATTTTTAAGTGCAGTTCTGTGGCATTGAGTACATTCACATTGTTGTGTACCCATCACCACCACTCTCTCCAGTACAGTGGTTCTCAACCTTCCTAATGCCGCGACCCTTTAATACCTCATGTTGTGGTGACCCCCAACCATAAAATTATTTTTGTTGCTACTTCCTAACTGTAATGTTGCTACTGTTATGAATCATAACGTAAATATCTGATGCAGGATGTGTTTAGGTGACCCCTGTGAAAGGCTCGTTCAACCCCCAAGGGGGTCGCGACCCACAGGTTGAGAACCGTTGCTCTAGTACTTGTTCTTCTTTCCAATTGAAACTCTATGCCCATTCAATGCTAACTCCCCAATCCCCCTCCCCCTAGGTGCTGGCAACTACCATTTTCTTTCTGCCTCCATGAACTTGACTACTTGACACCTTATATCAAGGGAATTATACAGCATTTGTCCTTTAGTGACTGCTTATTTCACTTAGCATAGTGTTCACCCATGTTTAGTATGTGTCAGCATTTCCTTCTTTTTTAAGGCTGAGTAATATTCCATTATATGAATACACCACAGTTTCTTTATCCGTTCATCTGCTGATTGGCACTTGGGTTTGTTTCCACCTTCTGACAATTATGAATAATTCTGCTATAAACATCAATGTTCCAATGTCTGAGACATTTCTTTCAATTCTTTGGGGTATATGATCAGAAGTGGAATTTTTGGGTCATATGGTAATTCTATGCTTATTGTTTTTGCAAACTGCCATACTGTTTTTCACAGCATAAAGGCCTGTGTTTCTGACACAGTCTTGGGCTAACCATGTTGACAGTGGAACAGAGAAGAGCGGCATGTCTTTGTCTAAAAGCGGACACTAAAAGTAATGGCAGTAAAGACTTTAGGAAGTGATATGGGGGAAAGAAAAGGAGGCATCCAACTCTAATCTGTGCCATAGACAAACACCTTCCCTGTCACCGGTCTGCGGAGGTGGGGTGGGGGATCATCCGATGTCAGAGTCAAGGCTAAGTCCATGAGAGGTCATGTGGCAGAAAGGTACAGGTGGGGCTAGAAGGCTGAGGTGTTTCAAGTATGATGCTTATAGCCTGGTGCTACGCAACTAGCAGAGTACATGTGGGCACTTCAATGGGGGGCAGAGAGGGAGAGTAAACAATTTGATAACGCTCTTAAATCTCCGTAACAACTACCTTCCCTAGTGGGCTTAAACATGTTCCCCATGATGCTCTCTGAGATGCAACCTGCCCATATTTTTCTGAACGCTTACACGATCTGGCTGACTGCCTGTCGGACCACTCCTGAACGGTGATCTGCTCCTGGGGCCCCCCTATGGAGTACTGGTCCTCAAAGGTGGCGTTCTGAGGAATGTCAAGAGGGTCCCAGGAGTCTGTGAGGGTGATCTTGGAACACAGCTTGGTGGCTTGTTCAATCTGAAACATCACTCCATCTTTATAGAGCAAAATATATTCAAATAACCTGAAAGACAGAGTAAAAGAGAAATTTCAGCACTTTAAGTGGCAATCATCATGGCTTTTACAGCACATGGGCCAAAAGACTTTGATATAAATTACTCTTAAAACAGAAAATAGTTTTGCTTGTAGGCAATCATTTACTTATTTATAAACACTAGACACACCAACAATCTGAATATAAAATAAAGTTCCGAGCTCAAAACTGAATATTCACTGGACAATTACTTATCAAGCACCATATGTCAGACTCTGTGCTTAGGATACAAACATGAGAAAGACCTGAGTCTGATGAGCAGATATCTGTGACCTATCTTTTAGACACAGGGTCAACAGGAGGGTTTGACCGTTGTCTTGGCTGAGCTCTCCTTACAGCACTAAGTCAAGGAATTACAGATGCTGAATATAGAATGACAAGAACCTGCTGAGGACGGGCCAGGCACCTCAGCCCCATTGTCTTGACTGTCAGTCATGAGTAAAGGGCTTTGGTGAGAATGGGTGCCCCTCGAATACTGGGAGGAGGCTGAGATGAATAAGGACAAAAGCTGAGGGGGACTCAGAGCGAATGGCTTCCCATGCAGTTTGTCTGCAGGCTCTCTGCCTCATCTCTCACAAGAGTAAAGCTCCAGCACAGACCTTTAGAAATGTGAGTGTATGTAGACAAAAAAGGAATTGAGAGGGGCACAGCACGGCCCGCTGCAGAACCAAGGGCCACCAACAGCTGGTCAGGCACCTGCCAGGGAGGGAAGGAGACAGCGGGAGAAGAAGAGCCAGCTTCACTGTTTTCCTAAGGTCGGCTCTGCCTATACCAAACAGCACAATTTGTTTTTAAAATGAGAATTCTAGGCTTAAAACAATCATTACAGAATGTTCACATTTGTTCATTCTGGGTGGTCTGAACACAGGTGTTTGTTATGGTGTTCTCTGTTCTTTTGTTGTCCAAAAAAATATATATATTTTTAAACGCGTGCATAGCGTGATATTGAGTTATGTCAACAGTCCCTTAAGTAAAACAGACAATAATCATATGATGAGAAAAAACAGAACTGTAACCATTTGCTTTGCCAAATACCATGTGCCTATACAGGAGAGTACTGCTCTGCACAAAGTTTTGGCATTGTCCTGATGCTGTAGTGGCTTGTATGTTTCTGTGGACATGTGCAGAGTTAAGTTGTCAGATTCTCCATGGCAAATAGGACACAGGGCCTGGGACCTGACAGAGCCAGAAGGTCAAAAGCAGAGGTCAGCCAAGGTTGAAATGAGTCACCAGCCTGGGAGGCTGTGCGGATAATAACTGTAGACCCGAAGAACTGACCAACTTCAACAGAAACTAGATTCTGGGAGGTGAGATCAAAGCCTGGCCCTGAAGCGAAGGAAGTTGTCAGAAACTGTACCCCTGGGGTGCAGTCAAGCAAGGTGAGGTTCTGGAATGGATTGGAGGGCAAGGCAGGCAGGCCAGCCCTGGGTCAACAACAGCATGCAAACTCCCCCTTGCTGGCCAGGCACCAAGTAAATCCGACTCTGGGAGGCCGGCCGCTGGGTGTCAGCGGTGAGCGAGGTCAGGCTCCCCAGGTCCGGCCCCCAGTCAGCAGGCCGAGCTCCACCGCAACCTCCCCCAGGGGGTGAAGTGTCCCATTTTGCTTTTGATAAAATTCTCTGCCTACATTGACAATTTCTATTGTTTCCAGAAAATTCATTTTCCTTAGAAAACATGCTCTACCATACCCATGTTTTCTAAAACACTAACGACCTGCAGCTGATCGATGTTTCTCTCTCATCAATGTTTCTAACTCTCTGTCCCTCTCCCTTCCTCTCTTCAAAAATTCAATAAAATATATATTTTTTAAAAATTGTACACCTGAACATTATGTAATGTTATTAACCAATGTTACCCCAATACACTGAATTTTTAAAGTTAAATTATAAAAAATTCAGAGAAAAAAAGAAGAGGAGGAGAGGCTTTGTCCTATTCCACTTCCTTCGTTGTGTGTCTTTGAGCAGAGCTGGGTCAGGACATGTGCTTGCAGTGGAGGCAGCCACTTTTAAGTGATGAGGCCACAAGTCAGTATGCTCTTGCAACTAAGAGCCAACATTCTAAGAACGGCATAGTAGATGGATGAAGAAGAGCCTGTGGCCTGGATGAAGCTGTTGAGTCAAGCCTAAAAGACATGTATCACCAGAATTTTGAGGTACAGACCAAACATCCTCATGGTTAAGCCTTTGATAGTCAGATTTACTGCAGCGGAAAGCATCTTAACTGAAATAAGTAAAAACCACTGCTTTACAAGGTATTGCCTAGTGGGTTCCTTACAACAAATCTACAAGTCTTTGGGAATCTCTCTTCCAGAATAAGCAGGGCCCGAGAATGTGGCAAGTCCTAAAACCCAAAATACCAATGCCTGACCTGGGCACCAATGACCCTGCACAGCTACTGCCTTTACAGCCAAGAGCCAATTGTTTTTCTGTCCTGAATTAGGGTTGTCAGGAAAAAAAGAAAAAAGAAAAAAGCAAACAACAACCAAAAAAAGAAACAACAGCTTAAGGACTAGAAAATTCAGCTCACTGACATGTTATTAGCTTTCTTCCTTCCTTCCTTCCTTCCTTCTTTCTTTCCTTTTTAAAAGAAGAGAATATATGAGGCTCAGAGTGTAACTTAAGAGTAAATAATTGTGCCAGGATTCAACGCAAGGTCTTTCTCCAACCAGACTCATTCTAATTCACAACACCATGCTTCTTCCCTCCTCCCACAGGGGGAAGGAGTGATTCTTCTAGCCATGTGGAACTTCTTGGCTATCCAAGGTATATTAAATCACAGAAAAGGGAGTGGACAAATATTCTATTGTGATTACAAAAGGACTTTGGCTTTTATGAAAGAAATTGGACAAACTTTGGATTTGTTTAATATGCACTGTAATAGATTAGTAATGCATGCCGGCTCTCTGACGCTTAGCAGGAAGAATTGAGCTGCGGCCACTTGCCATTCTGGCGTAAACCAAGGCTGAGTTACACCCTACAGTAATTACCAGACACAAAAGAAAAACACTATATTGAAATGGTTGTGCTAGACGCAAACTCATTGTGCAGGCTGATGCCAACCACATACAACAAAAGGAAAATTAAATTACTTGAGAATGCAGTCCTAGGAAAAGTAAAATCAAAGAGTGATTATGTGTGGAATTTAAGAAGCTGTAAGGTGATGGCTCTCCTCTACTTGGATTCTAGTTCAAAAGAGGAAAACAGTGCCCAAGAAATTGAAGAGATTTTTTTTCCCAAAAATGGACCTGGGTGAATACTGGCAAGGTGTAGGCATAGATTCATTCATCTGTTGGGAGATATAGAAAACTTCTCATGAGACAATAGTTCAACATGATCTTTTTTTTTCCCACCACTAAAAGAAACAACCTCATTAGTACTGAGATATCCCTGTTGCCCTGGTACACAGTGATTTCTAGAACTACATATCAGTGGGTATTAAAGAGGTTGGGAGGCTACAAGAACAGTATGCTTTTCAGTAGCAATATATAGGCTCCCTCCATGTTGGAATATAAACACACATACACACCCTTCCAGCTAACAGTTAATGAAACTAAGATATAAATCTTATTTTTTATATTCACTGGGACTTGGGTTATTGCTGTATTTAAGAAAAGAAAAGGAATGCTGTGTGACCACAAGGATAGCTTTCTAATGAAAAACATGATTATCAAAATAGAAAATGCAGAGGAGGCAGTGTAGAGTACATTTGGCTATGGGGAATAAAAAAACAGAAGCAGAGAATTTAAAGGTGTTATCCCAGAACTAAGGGGAAAAGCATAAAGTGATGAAAGGCTAATAAAAAGATAAGAAATTTTGGGGACAGATGTAAGAGAACCAATACATGTAAGTAGAGAGATATTCTACAAGGAACAAAGAAAGAAAACAGTGTATTACACCTCTAGAAATAGTAGGTAAAATTTCCCTAGAGCTAGACATAGCCTGGAGATGTTAATTAATACAGTTCAAGGATAATAGAAATAACGTACAAAAACTTGGGCAGAAAAAATTATTAAAACTAAGCTAACATTACTTTGGTATCAGACTTCACTTCTAGCACTCTAACTTCCATAAAAAAATTTTGAGAAAAAGGATTATTATTATTACCTCATGAATTGTATACCCCCCCATCATCATTATGTAAGACAGCAATAAGTAGGTATTCTCAGACATTCACAGTCTCTGAAGAAAAATTAACTGAATATGTTCTCTAACTGAAACATGAGTCAAAACAAAGGATTCAGGTAAGTAAGAATATTAGTATAAAAGAAATTACAGTAAAGAGTAAAATAATGCATGTTTCTTTTTTAAAAAATTATCTTTATTGTTGAAAGTATTACAGATTCCCCTTTCTCCCCCATTGACTCCCTTCACCCTGCTCCCACTCCCTCCCCAGCCTTGTGACAAAGCTACTTAGAAGTTTGTACTAGCTCACACATTATAAAAATTCATCTGTGTTAAAACCCATGAAGAAATTGACCTTTTAGAGGTTTGACCAGTATGACAAAAGAAGGAAAGACTAAAAGCCATCCAAACACTTCAAGTTCTTTCAATATACTGAGTAGTACTTAAAGAAACACTTGTCCTTTACCAGGAAAAAAAACAACAACAACAATAACATAAGAACTGTATCCTGGCATCAGGAAAGCAGATTTCCAAGCTTCATTCTCTAACTCCCCAAGGAGAACTGAGACCTCATGAGAGTGGCTCCTCTGGGGTTCCCAGGGTAAGCCAGACAAGACCTGGAGCTGGGCAAAGAGGAGAATCACAGTCCAAAATCTAGAGGGACAGGTAGAGGGCTCAATTCACAGAAAGAAGGCCCTCGGATCCGGAGGAAACATGAACCACGCCAGAACACAGAATCTGGTGTGGCATTTCAATGGATATTAAATCTGGGGTAGATTCTCTCCCCAGCATCCTTGGCTACCAGAAGTGTGAGCTGATAGATTTGTCCTCTGGTTCATAGTCCCATTTCTCCTGAAATTAGAGTTTCCCTCCTC